TAAAATGAAAAGTCTTATAGTTAGTAAGCCCTCCTTATGATGTGGGATGACAAAAGTCAGGAACAAAAAGAACAAACTTTCTCCATTTAAATCCCAACTTTTTTTACAAACACATTTTTTTAAAGAATTCATACTCTCCAACTTTTGTTTACATATTTGACATTTCACTGTGAACAAAATTCAAGATAAAAAGAAGTCTAAAATGTTTAAAGAATTGGGGTAAATACCTGTGATTTCTCAGTTTTCTGCACAAGACTATCTTTAATTTCAAGTTTAAGATATTTATGCTTAAGTAGAAACAAGTTCCCATTCAATCTTTCACCTTCAACATTCTGCATCTTTCCATTTACACTCAAAATCCCTTCTAATTTTCAATCTGGTCCTTCATCTTCTCCAAATGTTTCAACTTTAGACTCATTTTCTCCAAAAAAACCAACAACTTTTTCTTCAAAACAATCACAAAAATCCCATAAATCTATTTTCACTTTCAAAAACATATCTTCAAGAACTTGTTTCTCTACCCGTAATTTATCAGCTTCCTCCACAGCTTTCATGGCTGCTTTCTCATTTACTTCAAATGCAAAACCCATTTTTTGTGACAGCCTTCTAAGTTCCTCTTGAAGCCTCGCAGCCAAATTAACATTTTGCAACCTCATTTTTCTCAAATTTTCCTCTGCCTAAATCGCCCTGTTCTTGATTCACTAACTCTTGCTCAAGATTCTTGACATGGGTTTCAAGATCTTTAATCACAAGATTTGAGTTTGATAATTCTTTTGATTTTGATTTGAGTTCATTTTCCAAGCTTTCGAGGCTGATTGTAAAATAAGAACACAAAATCGATGTAACTGTAAGGAGACATTTGATTACCAAAATGTTTTAAAAGGAATTCTGATGCAAAATTGACATTATTTATTTTAATTACTAATTAGGATCTAAAAAGATGGACGTAACATTATGAGCTCATATCTTTTGATAAATAACACCTCAAAATAATAGAAACTTCCCATTCACTTTTAATAAATAACAAACATAACCCATCAAAGCAAGAAAGATCAAGCTTTATGGTCAAAGACTCAACTGGACTCTACTCGACTCTGTATGTACTTTTACAAGGGAATCAAAGGAACAAGATTAACTGAAGTTATGTTTTGTGAAAGAGTTCTTGAAACTCAGAGGCTTCCTAAAGAGGTAACTGAGGTTATATTATGCTATAAATTAAAGAATTTCACATGTATAGCTGCATAATATTGTTATATGATGCTATTGGTGTTTCAAAGGGATGATCGGTTGAGGTTAAGCCATTTGTCGTCTGTTTTCCCTCCATTTTCAGGTAAGATGCTACATTTATTTTGAAATTTAAACCATATTGAATTGTATTTTAAAGGGGAGGAGAGTTCTTTGGGTCACTCATTATCAAGCAACAGAGATATGGATATTGAAGCTGGAAACAATTAAAATTTTGCTGAATCCCCTGTTGAATATCTGCATTTCATTGCCTACAAATGTGGAACTAAGGTATGATTACGAAACAATATTTCCTTTTAATTTACAAAATGTATATAATAGGTGGAGTTCAGGAAGGCTCTGGTCCTTAGTGTTGAATTATAGATCTCTTTTAAGGTAGTCAAAAGTCCTTTAACTACACGACACATTACTTATGAGGATATTGGGTGAAAATTGTGTTTTTACAGGTATGGTTTGCTGGAGAGAAAATTGGAGACATGAAGGGAAGCTGAACATCAGGCGGCCAAGGCATCTCTTATGAATTTGGCTGGTAAAAAAAATATTTGATGTTTTTGTCTTATAACAGTATAAAGAATTTATAGAAATGAATTCCTTCCACCCTTCCCCTAGCCCTTAGGATTTGATAAGATCCATCAAGGATTCGAATGGAATTGAATTGCAACAAAATAAACAATGATAATGATTCTGACCCTTTTTTGGCATGGAGAGGAGG